CTCCTATGTGCTAGGCTTCATTCCAGACCACATAGTGATCAAGTCGACCTTGACCAGAAAAAGGGTTATTCTTTGCCGATCTTTGCCGAACACTAATGTGAAAGAGGTTGCCGCCCAAAATTGGTTCCCACCACCCAAAATGATAAGTCGCATCCAAAAGTTGGGCTAGTTTCTAGGACACGTTGTCGTCATGCATTTCGCTAACCTATCAGAAGCCGCCACAAATTTCAGACATATTATATTTTAAAGGTTTTCCCTTCTATATATAGTAGTGCCTCGAGGCTTTAAAGGGACAACCAATTCTGATCGGAAAAATTAGAGATTTCGTCCTGTAACTGACACCTATTTGAGGTTTGGTCCTCTCCGATGCCTACTTTTGGATCACGTCCCGTAAGTGGCAAAAATCGTGAGAAATAGTCCTATCACCTGCTATCGCAGATAACCTTCACCGGCTAGCCTACGTGGAATTTTTATTTTTATTTTTATTTATTTTTTTTTTTGCTGAGTTGTATAATTACGTGGCATATTTTAAAAAAAGATGAAAAAGTGAAGCCAAACAGATGAACTGGGATGTTGAGGTTTCAAAATGGGCTTATGATCCACTAGACATACAACAACTTATGTTAAAATCTTGACTTCACTTATATATCAATTAAGAATGTTTTATCAAAAAAATTATATATATATATATATATATATGTTCAATTTATAATACTTTTAATTGTAAAAATAATACCTAAATTATTTATTAAATATTTATTACTCACGAAATTTAAATTTGTAAACTAAATAGGTAAATAAATAATATTATATTATATATTTAATTACCTTGTTTAGTAAATTTTTTGTTATCATCAATGTTTTTTATACTAATTTATATTATTAACATTTAATTAATTTTTTGTGTATTAAATAAATAGCTACTAAATAAATAATACGGTTTTATAATACTATATTTAAATGAATATATATATATATATATTAAAAATTATATTACATATTTAATGTATTAAATAATATATTTCATATTATATATATAAAATAATAAATATAATACATAACTAAATAACAATTAAAGGCTGTTGATAATAAACTAATATATTAAATAAATAATCACTCAATAAATTTTATTTAATTAAATGTTTTTAATTAAATATATAATATATTTAATTAAAATTTACTAATATATTAAATAAATATTTACTAAGTAAATATTCATATTAAATAATACAATAAATAAATATATTAAATAATTTAATAATTATAGTATAAATAATAAATATATCTAAATAATATATAGATAAAATATATAATTAATAAATAAAAAATTACTTAATGCCTAAAAATATTTAATAAATAAATATAATAAATAATATAATAGATAAATCAATATATTAAATATAAATAAATCAGATAAGGTAAATAAAAATAAATAAATGATAATAAATATTTCATTAAACAAAACACTATATTTAGTATTTATTTATTTTCATTTCATTTTAAACGCAAAATTTATTAAATATGTATTAATTACATTAAATAATATAATAAATAAATATATTAAATAATATGATTTTTTTAAATATATTATAATAGATAAATATATTCAAAAATTATATTTAATATTGAAATAAATAAATAAATTAAATAATATATTTAATATGTAAATATATATATATATATATACAATAAATATATTAAATAGCGAAATATATATATATATATTAAAGGCTGTGGATATCAAATTAAAATATAATAAATAAATAATTACTAAATAACTTTTATTTTATTAAATTTTTACTAAATAAATATTCACAAAATAAAAATATTAATAATTTATTTTGGATAAAAAAATTCTGATTAAATATAAGTACGTAAAATTTGTTACAAAGGGTGTGTTAGGTCAAGTGGCATTAAGTCTCACTTGAGTGCCCATCACCCTGGGCTAAATTCTCCTTCTCTGCGTTATTTTTTTTAATAAAAATGCCACATAATTTGCCAACCAAGGAGTAGATTTACAACTCAAAAAGAAAAAAATCATGTAAAAATGCCACGTAGACTAGCCGATAAAAATGACCTGCACTTGCCGGTGATAGGACTATTTCTCACGATTTTTGCCACTTACGGGACGTGATCCAAAAGTGGGCATCGGATAGGACCAAACCTCATATGGGTGCCACTTACATGACGAAATCTCCAATTTTTCCAATTCTGTTCCAACTCTCATCGGGAAATATAACAATTCTCACTTTACTAAAAATCGGCCTGGGCAGTCGCCAAAGCCCTAGGCACCGCCCGACCGCCTCTGATTTATATGAATCGGCTGAAAAAACTAGCCATGCGGAAAGGCGGGCTTAGGCGCTACTAGGCGGGCTCGGCAGCCAGGGGGTTGGGCGACGCCTAGGTGGCTCAAAGACAATTTTTCTGTTTTTTTTTTAATCTTAATTATATTATTTTGTTATCATGTTTTCTGTATAATATATTAATATTATTATTTAAACTTAGGTGTGTGAATTTATTATATGTTTAGATTGTTTTATTTTGTAGATAGTGAAATAAATAAAAAATATTGTATTTAATCTTATTTACAGGCAGCGGCTAGGCGCTAGGCGCTGGTTGAGCTTCAACAGGCACCTAACAACTTTTAAAAAACTTAAAATTCCTCCCAAGTTTTCAAATACTATACTTAAATTTCTTGTTGTTTTCTTGGTTTTCA